CACTGGAGGTTGGAATGGGGGCTGCCACTTGGTCCCCCAGGAAGAAAATGCACAGTAAACAAGCCCTTATGGTAATCGCGTCGCGTCTTGAGGCACCCGCGCTCTCGCAGAAATCAGACTTGGCCCTGCCTCAATTTCCGGCGCAAGCCTGTCAGGCGCGATGGTGTGACACTGGGCCTTTCACACCCTTGTTCGTCCTCGCCTTCTGATTGGATAGATGCAGTCGGCCGGGGGTACACTGTACAGCTGGCCTCGCAGAACACTGTTGCGGGTGCGACGGATCTCTGATGTTGAGTCAGGTGATTTGCTGTGAGCTTTAGTCCTCAGGTAGAAGCTAAGGTAGACGTTTGGACCATCACAGTTTGACGTCGACAAAAGCAAGCTGTACTCCTTTCTGATGGTGTGTTAAAAGGCGTTGTCAGATTTATATCCAAAAAAAAACACAGTTGTTCAGTTTACGCCTTTTCTGTCGCGCATATTTCAACAAAGCGAGTTGTCCAAAACATCTATTTGTTTCTCCTACGCCGGGGAATCTCTACGGTACACTCGAAAATGTTTTTGATGCTTTCTGTAGCCCATACACAATATTTCCGTATTATTTGTCGTGTAGTATGCAAAAATTCCGAACTATTTATTGTTGCAGTTCCAACAGACTCTGTCTTGTTGCAAAACAACAGCAATGTGCGATGTCGTTTATTGAGCCTTCGCTCCGCTTACAAACAAGAATAATGTACAGCGATGTCTTATTCATCCGAAAACGACAGACTGTGTTAGAACGTTGATAAGGCTTAATGGAAGAGGACATGCGCGGAGGGTACGATCAGGAGAGTCGTTCGCTTCACAAAAAATGTCTCATTAGGTTAAGCCATTGTATGCCCGCCGGAGCTTCAGTGGAACCTCAACGTCGTCTGGGCGGCCACACCCGCCAGAAGACAATTATATTCTGAATGTACCCAAAAGGTCAAAACGTATGTGTCGTTTTGTGGCTGTCGATGGCTTGCTTTACATGTCGTTCTCGTCTCTCGGTCCCCACTTACCTCCAGAAGCTGATCAACGTCGTGTTTTCAGGGGGTCCTCAATGTCTCATTTTCATTTGATTGCTAAAAAACCGAAGCATGTCGGTCAGTTAGTGAGTTCAGGCAGATCGGTGTGCGTTTAGGCCTTTCTTTCCACCTCACCCTGCTGAACTGAAGTCAGTCTTCCCATTACAGTACCTGCCAAACCTCCTGCACTTCGTCCAGCTCCGCGCCGAACACACCTGGTTAGCTCTGGTGGCGTCGTGAACCTGCGGCCTCCTCACATCCACCACTCGGAAATCACTTCATTGACATTTCCGTTGATTTCTTCCTATTATCAGTTTAGCGCCTGACGCTGGTTCTCTCATTCACCTGCGCCAGCTCGGCCATCTGCATTAGCAACACCACTTCGATTTCCCCAGAATTAGGCACACCAGCAGGAGCAGCATGTGTTGAGCTAAACTACTGTTAGCTTTACTCATCATCCGCGTCGCGAGCCCTAACTGCTCAATCGGACGACTAAGCATAGCACTACACAGGCAGCACAGTAGCCATGGCTGGTGGAGCCGCTCCTACGGCTTATGGCCGTTTGATGAACAAACTCCGCAGTCCCGTCCAAATCATGTCGACATTCGTCCTCGGCCTCCTACTGCCATTCGCATTCTACGTCTTCTGCGACAGCGCGATCGGCATCGACATCTCGCCCATCTGCTACCTATGCGTCGTCTTCATGCTCGTGCTAACAGCGCTCGTCGTGTGGATCGAGTGTTTTCTCGCGGTGTTCAATCGAGAGCATGTACCGGAAGAGCCGGGATCACCATACCCACCCGCTTCAGCAATCATCGCGGCGTATCTGCCCAACGAGGCGGACACCATCTTGGAAACGATCGAGGCTTTCCTCAATATTGAGTACCCCGCGCCGCTTCAGGTAAGCTGTGGTGATACTCTTCGCCCCGCGCTTTCTTTCCTCTTCGGTTCAAATTCCCACGCATCTGTTGCGAATCAGAAACTGTGGTGATCCGAGTTTATTCATAAACCTCCCCTGTTATCCCCCTTCCTGTGGAAACGACCGACACGCCGCAGGTCATCCTCGCGTACAACACGCCGCGCGACATGCCTGAGATGGAGAGCATTCTCGCGGAGATGGGCAGGCAACGCCCCGACCGCTTCCTCCCGTACCGCGTTATTCACTCCCGCTCCAAGGCCGAGAACGTGAACGCCGCCGTGAAGCTGATTCGCGGCGAGTTCGTGGGTGTGTTCGACGCGGACCACTGCCCGTCATACGACTCGTTCATGCGCGCCTGGAAGTGGCTCAGCAACGGGTACGACATCGTGCAAGGGCACTGCCTAGTGCGAAACGGCGACGACAACTGGGTGGCACGCGCCGTCGCAGTGGAGTTCGAGACGATCTACTCCATCGGACATCCCGGGTCCGAATCCGTCCACAACTTTGGCTTCTTCGGCGGCTCCAACGGGTTCTGGCGGTCGGGTCTGCTCGCGCAGATCGGCATGGACGCGTCCATGCTAACAGAGGATATCGACTCGTCAATCCGCGTGCTGCTCGCCGGTGGGCGCATCAAGTCGGATCCTGGTCTAATCTCATCCGAGCTCGCGACGACGACGCTGAAGCAGATTTGGAATCAGCGCATGAGATGGGCGCAGGGATGGTTTCAGGTGTCGATGCGCCACTTCTTCGCGGGTATGACCTGCCGAAATCTCTCCGTGTGGCAACGGTTCGGGCTCTTCCATCTCTTCGTGTGGCGTGAAGTCTACCCGTGGCTGTCCCTCCAAATCCTCCCGCTCCTGTGCTTTATCGCGTACAAGATGAAGGGGTTCGGCTCGATCAACTGGTTGGATTTCGTCTACCTAGGCACGACGCTCTTCACCTTTTCCTGCGGGCCCGCCCAAATCCTCTTCGCGTATTTCGTCTCGGAGAAGTCGATCAAGAAGAGAGCCATGTGGTGGTGGTTTTACTTCTTTTTCGCAACCATCTTCTACACGGAGTTCAAGAACGTGATCGCGCGGGTGGCGCACATAAAAGAATTCATGAAGGAGAAGGCGTGGATGGTGACGCCTCGGACCGTCAGCCAGCAAAGACAAGCGTTCAAGGAGTTGAGAAAAGGCGGCGGGGGCATGGAGGTGGTAGTGCGATGAGTGCGAGCATCGGGGGCGCGTTGTAGGTGCCGTAAGGGTTGACCCTGCCTGCCTTTCCAGTGCGCCGCGACGCCTTCACTTCTATATTCTTGTCCCTGGCTTGTCTAAGGGTCATTAGTCCGGGGCTACGTATCCCACGGAGACGCTCTCGCAAGAGGCAGTCTGCCGGAACACAAGCAGTCATTCGCCTCATCGCCACAAGAACGTCGACATCAGCTCTGGATGCCCAAGTTGCTACTAATGGGGTGGCTTCAGCCTTCCGCACCTGCATAAAAAAAATACGATCAGATTCTACCGTCTTGCTTATCCACTCCCTTGTGGCGTAAGATGGTTGTGCATTAGTTGTTTCCGTATTGTGCTTTAGTACGAAGAATTTAATTCATTCCTAGTTTACATCCAAATTATCTATGGCGTCGCGGTTCGGCGTAAACGCTCCATGGAGTGAGCCCGACAAGTCCCCTCCCCTGATCCAAAGGGAGAGGACCTTTTTGTTCGATTTCCTTCCACCCTCAATCTTCCATGAATTTGTAATTAGTGATCCGCTCAGATCGGACCGCGAGTGCGACGCGTAACGAGGCGCAGGTGTTTTTGAAAGCTGGATCATACAAAAACGACAAACGGAGCCTGGAATCAGGCCATTTTCCGAGTGCGGGATAGACCCGGGATAAACGTTGGCGCCCCTAGTATAAAATTCTCCCCCTGTCATTGTCAGGAAATGACGAAACTCTTGCCTGCAAAAACAGTCAAACTTTTGAGGGCTACCCAGCCTGGACGAGTTCGATCCCGGGTAAACTCGGAAACTGCAGGTGACCCCTAGGATATCGAGAGGCCTGCCTGGAATCTCGGATCTCCGCATGTGGTGACAAAAACGACAGGTGGTGATTTGCGACTTGTTGTGCATTGTTGCTAACGCGGCTGGGTCCCGCCACAGGCCTGGGACTGGATCCGATTATGCTGGCCGCACCATTTGTAATTTTCCTGCCCTGGACTGGACTTCATTCACGAGATTCATTGGAAATGTCGAGAGTACACATGAGACTGATATTTGCGTGAGTTTCGTTTCTCGCAATTCCTGCCATCCACAATTTCTACAGCTCAAGCCTGATGAAGCGTACAAGATTACAAGAGGAGCATCAAAGATAGCATGCACCAAATGATAACCCAATAGCAGATCCATCTCATCCAATATTTCCAAGAGATCTACTACCACAGCGAGAACAGTGCATGTGAGCAGTAACAGGGAAAGGTGAACGGAAATGAAAATGTGTGACAAGGGGGAGGTCAGGGGCGCTAAGGAGCTGTGCAGAATGGTCTGCAAAGTCTGCTGTCTGCACAAAATTCACTACGCATAAATAATCTTCATTTGACGCAGGTGCCATGGATGGAATGAGCTGCTGCAGATGTCAAGTGTGAGTGTAGTGTAGTCGCGCACGCATATGGCGTGAGTATGCACTCCTGTGTGCCCCCGTGTGTTAGCAGTGGCCAGTCAAAAGAGCCCACGAGGAGTGGACCCAGTCTTGGCAGAGTCTGTCCTTCGGGTTAGCGGGGCTCGCTTTGACGGCGACCCAGAAAACAGGCCCCTCCTCACACCTGCTCCCCCAACCCCCCTCTCACCACATGCATGTGTACCACTACCCCCCAGCTCTCCCCCGCCCTGACCTCCTGCCGCCCCTGCCTGCATGGCATTGCTCTCATAGAGACCTAGTGCAACAGCAGCAGCTAGCGCACGGTCCTGTTCCAACTCTCCTCCATTCCCGGCCGGAGAAATTCCACTAGCCGTGTCGCCATTGACCCCATGGCTCTGGTTGCCACCACCGCTGCTGGTAGTGTTGTTGCTGCCGCCTCCTTTGCTGATGCTCCGGAAGAGACTCTTGACAGATGCGCGGGCGATTGCAGAGGCAGCAGCGAAGGGGGAGGCAGAAGAGAACGGGCTGCTGGGTGTGGTGCGTGTTGGGGTAACCTGTGTTGGGGTGCCACTGGAGGAAGTGGCATTGGAAAATGGAGATGATGGTAAGGCATTGATGGTGGTCATGGGTTTTGGGGTAGAAGTGGTGGTGATGTTGTTGGTAGTGGTGGAGGAGTTTATGTTGTTGCTAGCACTGGTTTCGTTCACTGCTGCAGCAGCAGCAGCCGTTGGGCTGCTCGGAAGAGTGGAACCAAACAATGCCTGTCCTGCCGTGATGGACCCAAAAGCACCAGGTCCGAAGTACGGGTTGGTCCCGTGCGAGAAGAGGGATGCCGAGAAATCAGTGGCGGCGGAAGCACCTGCGGCTGCACCAGCAGCAGCAGCATTTGCAGCAGGAGCAGGCGCAGCAGTGCTGTTCCTGGCCCCAACGTTGCCACAGCCGACGATGGAACTACCGGGAAAGGGCAGGGAGAAGTTGAACCGAGGGGCTGGAGATGAAGCGTGGTTTGGCTTGGTGGGGGAGGTGCTGAGAGCGGAAAAAGCTGCCATGATTGCCGAGAGACCGGTGCCTGCAGCGCCTGCACCTGCTGCACCTGCCTTCGAATGAGCGGCCATGTGCCCAGCAGTAGCAGCACTCGCAGAGGCCGGTAGGACCTCTCCTGAATGGGAGTAGATGGCCTTAGGTTCGGGGGCCCCGAACCTGTCAATCTGGACAGCAGGGGAGAGACGGGCTCGGAACGCAGAGATGGACCCAGCCGACCCTGGGCAGGAATCAACAGCGCTTCTCCCATCTCCTGCCCCTACTCCAACACCACCAGCAGTAGCCGCAGCCTCAGCAGCTGCAGCTGCCACTGCTGACATACCAACGCCCTTCTCCCCTCGACCCGCCCTCTCATCCTTCCCTCCAGCACTCACAACCTGGGCCTTCCTCAGCTTTCTCTTAGGGGAGAAGAGGTAGAAGGGACTGGTCAATGCAGAGGGGCGGGTGCGCTGGGATGTGATGGGGCCGGGGCTCCCTCCCTCCCCGCGGATGGCCTTCGGTGCAGGGGCGAGCGACGTCGGTACAGCAATGCACACTGCAGAGGCTGATACTGCTGCTGCTGATGCTGCGAGTGCGGCTGCTGACACAGCAGCAGCGGCAGCATTGGGAGCACCAGTGGCGGCGTTGCCTGCAGGGTTGTTACTGAACAAGCACCTCCTGCGACTTGGGCTGTTAACTCCTCTGCTGCCAAGCAAACTCTTCCCAGGAGATTTTCGGCTGCCCTCTCCCATACTTGCATCCTCCGCGCCTCCGGTGGATCCGCCATTCCCCAAATCAGCTGTTCCCAGCCGGAAAGCCCCTGGCGCTCCTATAGCGAAGAGGCCAATAGGGGGGCTGCAGGTGCAGTGGGACGAGTGGTAGCCGCCCCCGCAATCCCGACTGCCTGCTCCTGCCGCTCCCCCTCTGCCAGTAATCGCCCCAGATACAAAAGAAGCAGGGGCCGTTGCAGGGGCAGGGGCAAGCAGTGACTGTGGAAGAGTGGAAGGCTGCTGCAAATATGACATTCCTGCTCCTGCTGTTACCGCAGCTGCTGTGCCAGTAGCGGGTGCGCTTCTACCGAGGAGGACGAACGTGCCAGGAGGGAGGGCGGTGGGGGAGCTGGAACCAGCCGGGCTGGAAGAACCTGGACCAAGGAGAGGCGAGGGCAAAGCAGGAGCGGCGACGGCGGCTGTAGCACCAGCGGCAACAGAGGCTGTAGCAGCAGAGGCTGCATAAGGGGAAGCGGCAGGAGCTGGAGCTGCAGAAACGGCAGGAGTGGCCAGAGGCGCTCCCATGTCGAAAGCAGCAGCGGCGGCAGGGGCGGAGGCGGCGGGGGCGGTGGGCGTGTGGCTAAGGCTGAATGCTGTGGCTGGGAGCATGGAGAGCGGAGGGAGAGGGGCGAGGAATGGCGTGGGGCACGACGAAGCCGATGAGGCGAAGGAAGGCGCGGGAGAGGCGGCGGGCGAGGGAGGAAGGAACGCTGAGGAAGAGGCAGGATTGGGACAGGCGAAATCTGTTGCAGGGAGCAGCGGTGGGGTGAGGTTAGCGCGGAAGGCAGAAGAGGGGTTGAAGGGGGGAGTGGGGGCGAAAGCAGCGAAGGCTGGATCCTGGCCGGGCAGGCGAGGGTAGAGCGGGGACTGTCCGTGCATGTAGCTGAGTGCAAAGCCGCGCCCGTGTGCATGAGTGGGGGGAAACTGGCTGAATTCCTGCGCCTGCTGCTGCTGCTGCTCCTGTTGGCGCTGCTGCTGCTGCTGTTGCCAGGCTAGTGCCTTATTAGCCTGCACATGCGGCTGTGCATGTACATGTGCCTGGAAAGGCGCATGCCCATGCCCAGGCACATCCATACAGTCAGCGTTATCAGGTCCCTCCTTCATGGGCGAGTGCTCCGTGCTGCTGCTGCCGCCGCGTCCCTTGCCACCACCACCAGCTCCACCGGCAAAACCAGCAGCAGGAGAAGCACCGTCGCTCATCTCCACATCGGTATCCATGTCCGCTCTCGCACATGCGTCCATGGGACTGTCGCCCCGCCCACACGCGTCCATGTCCGAGCGCGTGCACACATCCATCTGCACCTCCTGCGCCACCGCCATAACAACAGGAGCAGCGGGAACAGGAGAAGCAGCAGGAGAAGCCGCAGCAGGAGCAGGAGAGAGTGCGAGGATGGGAGCTGGTACAGGGGAAGGAGAAGGAGCACCAGTGCTGACCGCGCATGGAGCAAGAGCGGAGGAAGCGGGAGCAGCTGCAGCAGCTGCAGCACACGGAATCTGTGCAGCAGCACCAGCAACAGCAGCAGCAGTAGCAACAACAGGAGACGGTGCAGCGGGTGCGGTTGCTGCTGCTGCAGCTGCACTGGCAGGCGCTCTTCCAACCCCTCCTGCGGCTGCGGCTGCTGTTGCAACTGGTGCGGCGGCGGTAGCTGTAGCTTTTCCACCGGCGAATCCAATTCCCACTGATCCCCCAACCACCCCCGCGCCCTTCACTTTTTCCCCGCTTTTCTCCCCCGATCCGCGCACCCCCAATGCGCCGTCAAGCCTCCGCGCGGTGGACGGCGGAAAGTGCAGGCTCCCGGGGGGAAACGCGGAGGAAGCGGGCCTGCGCCTGTGCAGCGGTGCACCCGCTTCGCGGAGCGTTGGCGGAACGGAGAGGGACGGCAGCTGCGGAGGGCAGTGGCGGAGGATCCATGGGTGCGCCAGCGCGGCTTCCGCGGTCGCTCGGCGCGGCGGATCCGTCGTGAGCAACCAACGAATCAGATCTTTCGCTTCGTCCGAGATCGACGGCCACGGCTCGCTGCGGTAGTCCGGGCGGCCGCGGAGTATCCGCACAAAGAGCTCCTCATCCGTAGTTCCCCAGAACGGCATAAAACCGGAGAGCGCTGTATAGAGTATAACGCCGAGCCCCCACATGTCCACCTGAACACCATACGGTTTCCGGCACACCACCTCAGGCGCCATATAGACGGAGCTACCATGCATCCCCACGGCCTGCTGCCCCGGTTTTAGCGGCACCGCCAGCCCAAAATCCGCCAGTTTCACGTGAATCTCCGCCCATCCGCTCTCCGCGCCGATTCCACCGCCTCTCCCGCCAAACCCGCAGCCGACCGCGCTCGCGCCGGCCTGATCACGGCCGCCAATCCCGCTGCCGCCGCGGCTGCCGCAGATCCATGAGCCCCCAGAGGCGTCGTCACCCGCGTGGTTGCCTCGCGTCGGGCCTTGGCTGCTGGTGGCGGTGCTGGCGCTGGCGGTGGTAGTTGCGCCAGAGGCGGAATCGAAGAAGCTACTCCGCGTGCTGAACAGACTGCTCGTTGCCGTGCTCGTCGGGGTGCCCGGCGGACCGTCCCCGCCCGCCGCTTCCACCGCCATCTTCTCCGCTTCCGCGGGGTTTTGAACCGCAGGTTTACAGTCCGCGCCGTCGGCCCCGGCGGAGGCGGAAGCGAGGTTAGGGATGGGGGCTGCGCGCACGAGGAGAATGTTTTCGGGCTTCACGTCGCGATGGAGAATGCCGTTGCGGTGGCAGTGGCTCAACGCGCGGAGGATTTGGCTGGGGGACGAGGAGGGAGCGAAGGACAGACAAGAAACGGCAAAAGAAAAGAGGGATTGAGGGGAATTAGCGGCAGTGGGGTTTTGCGGGGAAAGCGGGCGCGGGGAGGTGGAGGGGGCGGGGGTGAGGGGGTGTAAAGGAATGGGAGATACGCGAGAAAGAATGACGGGAATAGCGGAAGGTTGGACAAGTGATGTACGAGGCATGCGCGCAACATAACAATCGGAGATGTACAAGACAAGGCTGCGCAAAACGAGCCAAGCCCGACCCAGCACAACACGCCTTCTCCAAAAACCACCAAAAAACCCTTCTCGTTCCCCCCTCCCCCCGGCCCCACCCTCCTCACCCTCCCCGTCAACCTCCCCCCGGCAGGCACCTCGCGATCCGCGCGGCGAGCGGCTCGGGCAGCGTGACAGCGGCGGTGAGGAAGTCGTAGAGGTCGCCGCCGTTGCAGAGCTCCATGACGAGGTGCACGGCGCGCGGGTCCTCGTACACGCCCAGCAGCTGCACCACATGCGCGTGCCCGTGCAGCCGCTTCATCGCCGTCACCTCCATGCGCACCTCGTCCGCCAGGTCGCGCCGCTGGGGGGGAAGGGGGAGGGGGAGGGGGAGGGGGGGGAAGTAGGGGGAAGAGGGGATGAGATGGGGGGAGTGGGGAAGGGCGAGGGAAAGGGGGTGGAAGGAGGGAGGGAGGAAAATGCTTCAGGTGGGGAGCGGACGGGAAGTGAAGTTGGGTTCGGAAGTGAGGGGAGTATGCACGAGAGCGTGGGGAGGGAGGAAGGGGGGGAAAGAGGGGCGATTGGTGAAGAAACCCTGGCCTACCTGGAGCTTCGACTTGGGAATGCTCTTGCACGCCGCCACTGGCCGCCCCGTGAGCGGATCCAGGCTCTCGCGCACTACGCCGCCGCCGCCCTTTCCCAGCTCCTTCCCCAGCGCGTACGCGCGCCGTACGTCCCCCCGCCCCGTGCGCGGAAACACCGTGAACGCCCCAGACGGACTCGGCTCCACCGCCGCGAAGCCTGCGGGAGCTCCTGGTCCCGGCTCTCGAAACACCATAGCTGTACCAGCCGATGTTGCTGCCGCTGCCGCTGCCGCTGCTGCTGGCGCTGGCGCTGCCGTTGGCGCTTCCCCCGTTCCCGTCCGTCCGTTCCCCGCGTCCCCTCGCGCGGGAGCTGCCTCCGTCGCTGCGGCCGTCACTGCGCTCGGCTGCGCCACGTTTCCGCCAATGCTCCGCGCAGCTGTCGACGCTGACGGGGGTTCGCTTCCCCCATGTGCGGCAGATCCATGTGCTGAATTCACCGCTTTTCCGGGCGAGGATACTGCGGCCGTGGTGCCGCCAGTAGTTGCAGGACCCGCAGCCGCGGCTGCAGTTTTGACCGGCCCTGAGTCAGCCGTTTTAACGGCTGTGGAGGCAGCTTTGCCGGCACCGGCAGTTTTGCCGGCCCCTGTCGTTTTAGCAGTCGGAACCGCAGCGTTCGGTACTCCCCGCCCAAAAGCAACCCGCGGCGAGTCACCTCCAGCGGCTCGCCCTCGCCCGCTACCATTGTCCCTTCCGCCTACTCTTCCCGCCGCCACTCTTCCAACGCCGCCGCGTCCCGGCGCTCTGCCTGAATTTCCAGCAGCTCTTCCCGACATCCCGTTTCTGAAAACCCCAGGTGAAGGCCGGATAGTAGGCGACGCTGCTGGCGGCCTGGGCAAAGCAAGCGAAGGCTTTCCGGTCTTCGCAGTGGCTGTCGCCGTCGCTGCTGACGTAGAGAATGGAGAGCCGGCGGTTGTGGCGGGAGCCGCTGCAGAAGCCGGAATTGCGGCGGCTGAGCTGCCGTCTTCGTGCGCCGTGAATGTAAAAGCGGGCAGGTCCCCGCGCGACGGCATGGTTGATAGACTTGAGATCCGAGTCTCAGAAAGGTAAAAAACCAAGTTTTCTCGCAATATCGCTCTAGATCCGCAGTCAGAGGACCGTGTAGGTAAGATGGTGAGTGATTCTACAGAGGCGAGACTTGCAGGGAGTTTGCCGATTGCGTATGCTGGCTGGTTGATCTCGCATAGTGGGACTGTGCCTTAGCGTACAGGAGCGAATGAGCGAGTAAGAGAGTATTTATCGGTGAATTGGAGCCTTTTGAAAGGTAACGGCTACGCGGAACGAGAACGACAGGAAGACAACGGAGGGCTATGTGGCTCTATCGACGACTATCACTAAGCTCGCGGACAACGCAGTTCAGTCCACACAACGAACTCAAGCTTGCAGCCCTCCAACTGCAAGAGCAGCGGGAGGCCAAATGACTTCAATACACTAAGGACGTAGCAATAAGGGGTGGAACACCTTGCGAGTTAGAAAGCCAGCTTCTAGGGACAGCCGCAATCTGCGCACGGCTCACCAAAACAGATCCCAGGGAGTGGAGGTGTCGTGTCGGAGTCGATGGGCGAGAGAGCTTTGTGGTTTCCGAAAGGGGCGCAATGGTTTTCGCAACGGGGGAATGGTTTGCGCGTGGGGGGAATGGTTTGCGCGTATTTCCATCCCCCGATGTTGAGCATGGGGGGGGACCGAGGGGGAAGTTGATGGTGTAGAACATGTCGATAACATGTGTGACGAGATACAGCCGTACGATGGCCCAGTTAGTTGCTGGACCTGGGGGATTCAGGGGGATCACAGGTGGACCGGGGCGACTGGAACTCCGCGTTGGTGGTGGGTGGGGGACGGGTCATCCATCCTGCCCCCACGGGTTGAGTCTATCACATAAAATTTGAATGTTCAAGGTCTTTTACCTCGGGAACAGTAGGGGCTGCGCGGAAGAAAACATCCCGCCAACAATTCAAAGGTGCTGACGTGGCGATAAGAGCATCGTTCCATTTGAATGCGCAGCCCAATCAGTCTCATCGTTTTTCGGAAAAGCTTTGGGTGAGTGGAAAAAGTGACCGCCCAACCCGCTGATCCGAATCACTGAGCGCCAACAAGTGCATGATGTCCACCACAAACAAACTAGTTTCCCCTGCCCGCGGTTTGTGCCGAACAGTGCCCAAAGGAATCGAACGGAAGGGAAGTGGTTCTGTCTGTACACTACTGCCTCTGAGCGCCACCGCCACCACGCACAGATGCAATGCCCAATCCAGGACCCTGCTCGAACGACTCAGAGTCTGTCAGTGATACAGCTAATCAGCGACCTCCAGAACTCTGCCGTAATTTCCTCGCTAATGGCCAGAAAACCACGCGTCGCCCTATGCTCAGAAACCCTCGTGCACTGATTTGCCAAAACTCTGTCACATAACTGGTTACCAGAATGATCTCGTTACGACAGTAAACATCTTGTAAGGAATTACAAATCCCTCAATGGAGATATCTACAGCGCGTACGCTCGAACAATAATGAACCTACGCTTCGGCCCAAACCTCTAGTTCCGAACATTCGGCTCGTCTTCCGACTGCGCGACGGACCTTCGGGATCCTTCGATACCCTCCCTGAACCATCGGATCCTACGACTAAGATCAGCCCTAATATTTCTATATATTGCCTCGTCACTCATTGTGTCATTCGGTTAGTTCACATTCTCGACATTAATTTCTGCAATACTCTTCCGTTCCATCTATAACACATAAAGTGTATGCCACTTATTTTGCTTACCTTCTTGAACCTTAGATTTAAACCATTTTTCAGGCACTTATGTGTGAAAAAAAATCCCCAGGACCAAAGTACAAGGTAAATAGCGCCATCACGTATTTGTCTTGATGGTCATATTTGCCGTATTATCCCTCTTATTTGAGCTACTTGATTTTTCCAAGATTGAAAGCGTTTGCAGCAGGTATTTCAATCGTCATTGTAAATTTGGATTTTAACTGCGTATCACGTACAATGTTATCGGGTCCGCCATTATAGTCATCCCTCCCCTCCATCCCTCCCTTCCCTTCCCTTCCCTCCCTGCCTTGCACAACGGGCGTTGGTGTTTATGGTGTTCGCGGTGTTCATTTGTCCTCTGTTCACGTGCGTGACGATTGCCATTTCCGAGCTTCGTTGGTGTTTATGGTGTACGGGTTGTTCATTTGTCCTCTGTTCACGTGCGTGGCGATTGCCATTTCCAAGCGTTGGCAACTACCCTCCCCTTCCTCGTGCGAGATGGAACATGAGACGCTTGAACGAATTCGCGATAGAGCCAAGAGGAAGTTGAAGTGAGGAGCACTAGCTGTCTTTATAATGTCCTTGCTGTGTCGCTATCCTGAGCACCGTCCTCTCGCAGGTTGCTCCATAATCTCAAGCCTCCTACAACCCTGCCGTCAGAGGTTGGTTCCCGTATTTCGAGGGATTCAGGTGGTACATGCGCTCATACTTCCTTATTTCAGGAAAATGTCAGCTTGTTAACGGCTTCTCCATCTTGCGGCTCTGTATCTAAGAAAAAGCAGAAGTTTTCGAGTCCATTACCCGCGACGTCGGCAAAGACGGTCCCTGCAGTCTGCAAGTAATTTGCTCGGCGTGCTTCCTTCCCAGCTTCCCGAATATTCCCTAAAGATTTTCGCTGTATTCTCAGAGAAGTCAAGGAGGTCGGATCATCCAATCCGGGAAACACAAAACGGTTAACAGCGTCTCAGGCGGTGTCACGCCATCAAGTCGATGTTTCGAAATCCAAGAAGTTGGGCATTCAGGTTGGTTGCGTAGTTTTGTTTTGGGTAGTAGATCCAATGGCATGACACTTAATCGTGTTTCAGAGAATGAAGGTTCCAATTGGACTTGTGGAGATGGAGGCCCCCAGAAGCTTGATTGGCCAGAAGACGTCGGTTCTCATTGGTAAGAATCTCCTAGGTTTAGGAGGTAGCTATTCGGCACGTTATTGGTGTCCCTGACTTTCAACTCTGTCAGATCGTGCTCCGTTCAAGCCAACGCCAGCTACAGAGGCACTTGCTTCACTCCTCCTCCCTGCATCCACTCGATTTCTTAGGGCGCTGTTTCTCCCTGCTGTTTACCAACTGGAGATTGAGTGTTGGAGACCTTACCTCGCCAATTTGCTCGACGAGCCAGATGCAACAATTGTCAGGTGAGTCGTAACTTCTTGTGGGTTTGGTTCTGGCTTATTGTTATTACACCTCGTTGTGAAGCGCAGAAACGGGATCTTTGGTAAAGATGAGATGATGGATGTTCCACTCATCAAAAGTCCTGGTACAATGAAGACTCAGTACAGAAGGGAAGTCTTTTCGCAGTACACAGCTCAAGCTGCTGCTTCTGAAACACGTGCTCCGCACATTCAATGTTCTGCCGCTGACCAACACCTGGCCAGCATAAGGGAGACGCAAAATGCTATGAACGCATATGAGAGACAAGTTCATGAGTTCCGTTTAGCCTGCTCCAGCAAGGAGCACATGAAAGCAGAAATGTCACGCTGGCTGCTGTCTGAAGGTGGATTACTGGAGCTATTCTAAGAGGTACTGATTACAAAAGCTTCAGCTGTCAGTTGGTTGACGATATGTGTGCAAGGACAAACTCCATACCCCCATCGTCAAGCTTCGCCTGAACATCTTCCAGGATCTTGCCACTACCCTCACTGATCAAACCACGTGTACTCGTAACTGCTACTCCACTGCCATCATCTGTTGCGGCTTCAGCCCCCGAAGTCGAAGGCTGCTCAGGGTCATTCTTCATCTCTCTCTGCGTTGTTGCTACACCAGCCTCGCCACTCTCTTCTGCGGTCCGATTGACATCTCCGCTCACCCAAGAAATAAGCTCCGAAACGTCCAGTTCCTCTGCTTTTGCTGCTGCTGTCTCTGTATCTCCTGACATCAAAGCGCTGGAGCACTCCCCCGGTTCACTCCCTTGAGTGGGTTCAACAGGAAGATCCACTTCTTCAGGCTGTTCAGCATGATGATGAGCACAAATCACCATAATTGACAACGTACACAACAACACAGGTTCAAAATAACGACAAAGAAGGGCAGCAACATGTGATTAGCGGGGCATAACGAGGGGACCTATTTGCGCTAAAAAACACACCTTCGCGCCCGTAAGAAGCGTCTCCAACATCTGAGAGATATCTTCATGCTCATCCCGGCCACTCTCGTGGAGCGACATGGCTGCTGTCGACGGTGCTCATAAACGAGAAAACTAAGTCCCGTTGAAGACGGCCATAAAGCTTCTCCAGGAACACGACTGGAAGCTGCAGGCCAGCTCGTAAAGCAAACATATAGATTTCTTCGTCACGTTGGCTCGTTACTTGGTACATGACGTTCCAGCGAGACCCCACTGGTGGGCGTGAAGTGAGTTTATTATCGGTCCTGATAAGGCGCACGCGAGGTGCAATCTGTGTCACGATGGCTTGCTTCTCAAGACACCTCCCAATATCACTGCGTGTATAGGACGATGAATGACGCACTAAAGCAGATAGACCTTTGTCGAAATAGCGGGCTGGTCCACGTGTCGCTAAGAGTGTCGGCCTGGACGGTAAGGGCGGAGACGCCGCATGCACAAGTTTGTGATTAAAGAAGTCCCCGCAATAGCATATTATCTGCCTCCGTAGCACTCTTACTGATGCCTACATAACCAGCAAAAGCCTAAAATCCAAAGTGCTCTAACTTCTAACGATTCAAGGCTTTAGACAAAAGCCAAAGGGGCACGCCCTGACAAGTTGACCATACTCAAATACTATGTTGACCATACTCAAATACTAAGTGCTGCAGCAAAGAAGGCAAGGCACGCGCCTTTTTCATTTCATTGTGAAATAAAACGTTTGATGTTGTAGTAGACTAAGTATAAAACTATAAACACGAACACTTGGCAAATCTTCAAGTGCTGGTCCAGAATCTTTGCTGGAATGGTAGACTAGTAAGACAGCGGAAGTCTTGTAAAATGTAAAGGTCAAGGTTGAATAACCTGAGTATGCGAACTTTCTCAGAAACTTAGAAGGCTAGGTCCCTAAAGTTAGGACACTAGCTTAGCTAGGATACTAGGAAGGCCGCCATGGAATGCCGTGAGGAAAGTAGATCTAGGAGCGTGAGGAGAAAAGTTGACGAGAAAGAAGAGGGAGGATTAGGAAGAGAGAGCAATACAAGGAGGGGATTGTACCCTCTACAGAAAGGTTCAGTAATAACCTACCAAGCCTATATTAAATTATAACATATATAATTTTAACACACCCCCTAGGCTTGGTAGGGTCATTCCCACGCACACACCCACACCCACACCCACACCCCCTAGCCCAGCACCCCCATTCCCAGCAGGAGCCGCAACGACTCCGGAAGAGGCCAGCTCCCACGGCCCGTGAGATGGCAATGGCGGCAGCGGCGACAGTGACGACAGCGGCGGCGGCAGCGGCGTGCGGCAGCACCAGGCCCGCGGCAACCGCGGCGTCGGCGGCTTGCGGCGGCACCAGGCCCGCGGCAACAGCGGCGGCGGCGGCGGCTTGAACGTCAGAGGCCGGTGCAGCGGCCCCCGCCCTCTCGGCGGCATGTCCAGTCTCCTCGGCGGTGGAGAGGGCCCTTATGAGGCAGTCGTCGGCTGCAGCAAGGAAGGGGGGAATGCAGGGGAAGGAAGGGGAGGTGTGGGGGGGGAGGGGGGGGGGGGGGGCCGAGGCGAGTCTTCAGCGACGCGCCATAAGTGGCGCGGCGCTTACTAGCAGGAGGGCGGGCAGGTGGCGGTTACGATGGCGTGCTGCCCGCTGCCGCTCATCGACGCTGCCGCGGCAGCATGACGACGCCGCCAGAGCGCGGCGTCGACGCTGTGGCGGCACGCCGACGCTGCAACGGCAGCAAGGTGACGCTGCCACGGCAAAGCGTCGACGCCACCACGGCAGGGCGTCGAGGAGGCGACGGCCGCACGACAAAGCCGACATGACAGGTCGGCATGGCCGCCACGACGGGAAGGCAGTGACGAGAGAAATGCGCGGCGGAAGCGACGGCACGACAGCGCGACGCCACAGCAGCGCGTCGAGACGGCCGCGGGACGACGCGGCCAGCGGCATGACACGAGCGTCATGGCAGCGCGAGAAGCGTGAGTAGGCGGTCCAGCAGGAGGACCTCCTGCTCTGATACCATCTCTGAAACTTAGGAGGCTAGGTCCCTAAAGTTAGGACACTAGCTTAGCTAGGATACTAGGAAGGCCGCCATGGAATGCCGTGAGGAAAGTAGATCTAGGAGCGTGAGGAGAAAAGTTGACGAGAAAGAAGAGGGAGGATTAGGAAGAGAGGGCAGTACAAAGAGGGGATTGTACCCTCTACATAAAGGTTCAGTAACAACCTACCAAGCCTATATTAAATTATAACTTATATAATTTTAACAAACTTGTAGGTAATCAAAAGTTAATAATGAAAAGACCTAACAAGTATTTATAATTCTAGGAAAAATACCAATTCGCTAATGTACCTGTTCGTCACTTATCGCGCTATGCGCTCTAAACGATATTGAAGAGGTGCGATTGTTCGCGTGACTGAAACGACTGTCCTATGACGAGCGCTATTTGTTGACGTCATCCTACGGACTTATCTTCTACAGTATGATTCGACACTAACTACACTTAATCGATTTACAGAAATGCTAAGTATCAATTATATCACAACACTCCCCTTCATTTCAAGAACGTCGATAGTGTCACTTCTTGAAGATTCCGCAGAGCTTGTTACAGTACTGAAACTTCTGTCGTGTCTCGAAATCTGTTTCTGAAACATCAACTGTTGTAACACATCCGAAAACTCCTTTTCCTGATGTGGGAGATGCGAAGACCGGCGGACGATGCTGTGACACTGATGAATTCTGCGACGGTTTCGGCATCTGCTGCTGCTGAGACGTTAACTGCTGCTGTGATTGTGTCTTCTGTAACTGCTGCGATCATTGATATGGCTGCGAAGTGTTGCGACGAGTTTGATGACGGCTGCGACAGCTTTGGTTTCTTACAGAAGTGGTAGAATGGATACTTTGGTGGATGTCGATGCTGTTGTTCTGGATTGGACTAAAAACTTAAATGAAGCCCCTTTTTCTGATTTCGTTGTGATTGCTGGTCAAGATCTTGCTGCTCTGTTTGAAGATAAGAAGAAATTTCTGCTTCGGAGAGGTTGGGGTTCATGCGCAGAAAGGCGCGCGTCTGTCGCCATTCGGGTCCAAGACCAGCCAGAAGTACCGTAAGATACATCTCACGAGGGAAGTATCCCCCACTTTTCTCCAGTTCATCTCGTAGTGTACGGACGCGGTTGACGTAATCCATAACGTTCTCATTTGTCATCATCTGCACACTTGTCAACTGCGAAAGTATTTTACTCATTGTTATCGTATCCTTTGCCATGTATACCCCTTTCAGATGGTTCCATGCAGTTTCGGCTGGTGTAAAACTTGAGTGAAATTATCGAACGCCGAGCTGCTCCTTCGGCGACAAGTTCCGTACAAGAACTGTATGCGCCCCGAGAGAGGCGTGCAAGAAACTCTGCTGCTCCAGTTGTGTTCCCATGACACGATACGTAAATTCGCCAGTGAAGAACGGCCATAGCCCAGCGGACTGCGCCAGAAGCTCAAACTCAAAGCTCTAGGAGTAGAAGTCAACACCATTAAAAGGTACGGTTGTCTTGATCTGAGTATTGTTAAGTAAATTTGGAGGCTGAAAGACAAAGCCTGGCTGTTGCTGTTGTTGCTGTTGCTGCTGTTGTTGTTGTTGTTGTTGTTGTTGTTGTTGTTGTTGTTGTTGTTGTTGTTGTTGTTGTTGTTGTTGTTGTTGTTGTTGTTGTTGTTGTTGTTGTTGTTGTTGTTGTTGTTGTTGTTGTTGTTGTTGTTGTTGTTGTTGTTGTTGTTGTTGTTGTTGTTGTTGTTGTTGTTGTTGTTGTTGTTGTTGTTATTGCTGTTGTTGCTGTTGCTGTTGCTGTACTGGCTGTAGTTGCTGATACTGCTGTTGTTGTTGCTGAGCAGGGGAACGACCGAAGATATGGAAAGGATGCTGAAACTGCTGTGACTGCGGCTGCTGTACGAAAGGTGAGAAAGCGAACGAACCAGTACTTGGAGCTGTAGCTCCACGCATGTAACTTGAGCCGTCAAGGCTCATGCCACTGAACGCAGATGAAATCGATTGCGTTGAAACTGGTGGCTGTACTGACGCTTGTTGATGTGCTGTTGTCTGTGACTGTTGCTGTTGCGTTGCAGGTGCAGTCGATGGAGCACCTGGAGTATTCACAGAAGGCGGATTCTGCTGTTGCATACCGATATTAGCGTAGGCTGGTGGAAAGTGCCCAGAGGCTGAGAGACCAGTGGCGGTAGTGGAGACATGTGCTCCAGTAGTCCCAGTAACTGATCCAGCAGATGGTGCTGGTGATGAACCAGTCATAGTTGACGGTAGTCTTAATTCCAGATAGCTCTCATACCATGAAATAAAACGTTTGATGTTGTAGCAGACTAAGTATAAAACTATAAACACGAACACTTGGCAAATCTTCAAGTGTTGGTCCAGAATCTTTGCTGGAATGGTAGACTAGTAAGACAGCGGAATTCTTGTAAAATTTAAAGGTCAAGGTTGAATAACCTGAGTATGTGAACTTGTGGGTAATCAAAAGTTAATAATGAAAAGACCTAACAAGTATTTATAGTTCTAGGAAAAGTACCAATTCGCTAATGTACCTGTTCGTCACTTATCGCGCTATGCGCTCTAAACGATATTGAAAAAGGTGCGACTGTTCGCGTGACTGAAACGACTGTCCTATGACGAGCGCTATTTGCTGACGTCATCCTACGGATTTATCTTCTACAGTATGATTCGACACTAACTACACATAATCGACTTACAGAAATGCTAAGTATCAATTATATCACAACACATTGCACGTGTCCTAAATTCAACAAACTTGCTATGCATACATACTAATAACATAAAAATAGGTACACGGCTCCTATGGAGAGTAGTGCTTGAGAAATCAGGCCATTCCCGCGCATACCTAATGAGCATACGGACCAGTTGGGTTAGTGTTAGTCTATTCTCGTGATCAAATAGGAATGCATAGTGGCATCCCTTCGAAAAGGCTTTGGCTTCGGCACATCCAGCCTCGGTTCAGCTGGGCGACAAGCGGGAATTGTCGCTTGAATTGGTCAACAACAAGAGAGGCACAGCTGTCGCCTGCTTGCACCGTGTACTTGCGGTTGCGCACCGTGCGGGACCGTGAGGGACCGCACAGCACAGCTCCTAGCGGCTGCCCTGCAACACACACCTGTGAGCGGATGGGGGATGGGTTGATTGAGTTGGGTTGGGCCCATTGATGCAAACATGGAGTTGATGCATTGACTGAAATAGTATAGGTGTGATTGATGCATCTGGATCATCAGCATATATGCACATATGCAAATATGCGCACATGCGCACATGCACGCATCCACAGGCACAGGCACAGTCCCAGACCCAGGGAGAGTGCACACACACACCTCACCCCACACAACCCCCCCGCACACACCTCCTGTCCAGAGAGCCCATTGATATTGTCGCAGATGATCCCGGGGTTGTAGCGGTACAGCGAGCGCCACGACAGCCCGTAATCCGAATGGATGGAGTCGCAGGTGGTGGTGGGCGTGATGTCCCGGTACTGCGTGCACAGCGCGTAGTTGCTCGTGCCCCTCTCGAAGTCGCTCCACTCTATGCAGATCTGGTGGCAGGTGGAATGGCAGGGAAGAGGGGGGCGACGGGGAAGGAGAAGAAAAAGGGTCACATGAGGGTGGTAAGAGGTCTTAAGGGAGAAGAAATGGGAGGTTTGAGACTGCGGCACTACTGGTCCTTAAGGCTCGCAGACACTTAGTTCCCCGATTCCTGGTGCTCTGTTTCTCCCAATAATGCAGTGGACACACACACATCTTCCCCTCAACCCCCCCCCCCCTCCTCTCCCCCCCCCACTCCCCTCCCCTCCCAATAATGCAGTGGACACACACACATCTTCCCCTCAATGCCCCCCTCCTCCTCTCCCTCCCCCCCACTCCCCTCCCCTCTTCTCCTCTCCCTGCCCTCTCTTTGCCAGCCCCACCTGCTGGCCCGGCACGAGGTTGGAGCAGTCGAGGCCCGGGTTGACGGCAGCAGCATCGATGGAGAAGCGCGCATTGATGGCCTCGCAGCTGCCCGCTGCACTGTCTGCCTGCAAGCCACGCAAAATAGAGCCATGGGACAAGGGGAACAGGACAAGGGGCACGAGAATTGTGCAGACGGATACAGGTGGCAGGGATGTCGGAGGAGGATTGGAGGGATGGGGGGGGGGAGAAGGTGCGGTTTGGGAGATGGGGTGGCGAGAAAATGGGTGGGGTTTGTTGCACATTGCCAGTCAGTGTGGCAATTGCCAGCAGCGTACACATTAATTGGTGAACCTCTACAGACAAGGTGAGTGAGAAGGGATATGGTGAGTGGCGGGGGTTAGATGGGCGTTTCAAAAGATAGAATGCACATCAAGTGAAACTCAAAAGCCTTATTAGGCATGCCATGCCACGGATACACACACAAACAAGGACAACAAGCCGAGTGCAAGTATAAGCTTGCACCAACAGAACTGATGCCACAGCGAAGAAGTGAGCTGACAGTGAAGAAAGTGAGCTGACAGTGAAGACAGTGAGCTGACAGTGATTGCCAGACAAGTCAAAATACAAAGGAGGCGCCACAAATGTTGGCAGGCTAGTCAGAATCGAGACCCGGCTTGTCGAATCAAGTCAAGGCTATTGGAGCCAGGGTGTGAGTACAAAGCTGGTCATAAAATATACGTGAGTTGTACGTCCAATGAAGGGGCACATGCTCAGGGTCTGGGGAGTGCTGATCTTCGCAGTACGCACTCTCACCACCTCCCTCTCACACCACCTTCTCTTGCACTGCAGGCGAAGGACTGACCTGGGAGATGGGGTAGCGCACGGAGCATGCGGGCTTGGAGGTTCGCTCCACCTGCACGTACGAACCCACTTGCAGGTTGTTGCAATCCACTTCCTGAGAGCATGCAACAACATGCGCTGAGTTTAGACAATCCATAGATCCAGTCCAAGAAGAGGATGGCCAACTAAGAGCAAGAAGAAGCGATCCTGACTTTCAAGTTGACTCAAAAGTGACTCTTGACTTTGAGTCGACTCAAAAGTCACCTGTTTTTGACAATCCACCATAGATCCAGTCCAAGACGAGGATGGCCAATTAAGAGCAAGAAGAAGCGATCCTGACCGCTGCATTTGACGCTTCTCCCCCTCCCTTACAGTATTCTCACAAACTCACCCTCGCCTAACCTAATGCGTCCGAGCTAACACAGCTCCCCTGTTAGAGATAGACCGCAAACTAATAGGGTAAGATTGATGAAGATGTCTTAAACTGCTATGATCCCATGTTTGGTCAGCGGGCGTTTTACTTATTAATTATTGTTTTTGTTGTAGAGGTGCTTTTGTAGTTGGGTGTTGTACACAAAATTCGAATCCACTAATCGGAGACTTCGACTGACTCCGTTTAAGAATTCCCTTCTTATCTTGTAATGTACTTAGAGCCTTGAGCTTAACTACCTTATCTTCTTTCTTGCTCAACCCCACACATGGTCAAACTGGCCGAGCAGCCAGCTATGAGCACCCTTGCGCCCTCCTGTGCCCCCCAGTGCCCCCCTAGGCCCCCCTGTGCCCTCCGCCCACCCCATCTCACCTGGTTCTGCTCCAAGAACTCGGCCTCTGAGAGCCCGTGAAAGACATAGATGCCGTAGCACGTGTCGCCCTGCTGCACCTGGTATGAGTTCAAGGGGGTGCTGTCGCCGCCTGGTGGGCGGATAATGACAGTTTACCAAGGTGGAGGTGAATGGGGGGGATGCAATAATGGATGAAAGGAAGAGAGCCCGGTAGAGAGGCTCGACATATTGTAGGTGTAAAAGTGAGCCATCTAGAACATTGCATGCAAACCTCTGACCTTTTACCCGGTGTGTATTGCGCATACGCCCTTGTGCCCTTCACATGCGCCCCCGCCCCACCCCCCCCTTCTTTCTTCACCTTCCCCCCCCCCTTGCATGACTCACTAGGTACGCAGGTGAGGATGCCCGAGGAGAGCGCGTGGGCGCGGTAGTTGGAGGGGCACACGCACATGTACGTGCCGGCGTTCAGGTCCACACACTGCCCCGTGCCACACGGGTTGCTGGGGAACACCGAGCACACCTTCTCTGCCATGCGCCGCACGAGGGGAGGAAGGGGCAGATGGAGGAGTGGTGGAGAAGGGGGGGCAATAGGGAAGGGGAGGGGGAAGGTGTGAGAGGAGGAAGCGGTGGCAGAGAGGAGGGCGCATGGGGAAGAGATGGGGAAGGTGGAGGGACGGAGAGACGATCCTGCAGGATTTTGTAAGGGGCTTGGCAAGCACATGTGCATGCGCAGGCGCATGTGTGCATGTGTGTGTAGGTGTGCGTATGTGTGTGTCTGTGCGTGTGTGCATGTGAGTGTTTGCATGGGTGTGCCCGATTATGCCAGTGTCAAGCATGCGAGGTTCATAGAATGAATGCACGGCATGGTGGCAAGTTGCCGTCGCAACAACTATCTCGAGGGAGCAGAAGCAAAAGCGGGTTTCATGCCCATTGCCCATGCCCATTGCCCATTGCCCATGCCCATTGCCCATGCCCATTGCCCATGCCCATTGCCCATGCCCATGCCCATGCTCATGCCCATGCCCATGCCCATGCCCAGCTGCTGTGAGAATGTCTCAATCACCCAGCCATGCAAGACCCCCCCTTCAGCCCATTCGTCTGCCATTCTCCCACTTCGTTAAACATACAAGGCCTCCCCAATTCATAAATCATATGTGCCCTTGCCCCATTGTGAGTGCACGCATGCTATTTAATGAGCCCTCCCCGTATCCCATCTCCTCTCCTCTCACACCTTCCCCTCCCTCCTACCTCTTCCTCCTCCCCCTTCACTTGCCACCAACGCCCGCTCAATTCCGAGCCCCCTCTCTCCCCAAACCCCTCCTTACTCAGGCCACACGTTTCCTTGCCATCGCGGCGGTAGGCGAGCACGAGGGGGTCGGAGCAGTCGCACGTGTAACTGCCGCCCGCAGTGGCCGTGCAAGTGCCGCCCCCGCATGGCGACATGGCGCATGAATCGTACAGATCACCCTCTGGGAACGGAGGGGGCACATGGATGGGATGGATGGGAGGGATGGGAGGGGATGTAGATGTGTGAATGCTATAACAAAACGCAAGCACGTCTGCCGCTGACCACCACCACACACCACACGCCTTGCACCACCCACCATGCACCACCCACCACACACCACCACACACCACCCACCACACACCACCACACACCACCCACCACACACCACCTACCACACACCACCACACACCACCACACACCACCTACCAACCACACACCACCAACCACACACCACTCACCATGCAGCACGGGGTACAGCCCGCGCTCGTATGTCATCCCACAGATCCCCGCAGCAGCGCCCGTCATGGCGATCTTGATGTACCCGCAGTCACCCCACTCGGTGCCCCAGCTGTTGCGCAGAATGAAGTAGTTGTCGTCGGAGGACGCCCCCAGGAACTGGTACCCCACAGCCAGCATCACATGGTCCAGCACTGGGTTGGCTGGGTCAAAGCACTCTGAGTTGCTATACACTCCGCTGCCCTGGGAGAGGGGGGAGGGGAGGGGGGAGGGGAAGGGGGAGGGGATGGCGATAGGAGGTGAGGAGAGAGCTGTGAGGGCAGAGGGATTGAGCACACGCGCACTGGAGCATTGAGGCGTGCGTTGAGGCAACAAAGTGCGTGGGAGGAGAAGAAACGAACGTAAGTAGAGGTGACATGTGCAAGATCGCCTCACACACCCACCCCCCCCCCCCCCACCCACCCACACACCCACACACCGCCTTTTGTCGCCCTTTCTCCTCGCATTCCTCCTCGCCCATGCACTGATTGCACCTTCCCAGTCATGCACAAGCTCAGCAGCCGCATGGACGCACCGTGAACTCCTGGAAGTCGGGCATGGACGCGTAGATGGTCACCACCACCGGCTGCTTCGCCAGCACCAGCATCAGCCCCACGGCGCCGGGCAGAGGCACCTGGTGGATCCAGGGGGGTGGGGGTGGGGGTGGGGGTGGGGTGGGGTGGGGGGGCGGGACGGGGGAAGAAAGGATGGGAGGCAGAATGGTGGTAGTCACATTCAGCCTAGAAAAGTTGGGATGAGGTGAGGGGAGTTGAGGTGACGGGGGGGTTGGAGCTGCGTGGAAATAGAATGGTAAGAGAGTGGCAGCAAGTGGCTTTGTCACAACTCGAAACTTGGCAGCTTGGTGCTTTCAGCATGTCGATCAGAAGGCTAGTGAGCAGAGGAGGAGGAGGCAAGAGCGAGGGCGTGACTCACCTGCTCGAACATGTTGATGCCCACTGAGAAACCCGAGACGAAGCCCAAAGGGTGTAGGGTTGGCGAGGGGGGGGAGGGGAGAGTGGAGGAGGAGAGTCGAGAGGAGGAGGAGAGGTGAATAGATGAAGCGGTGGAAGTGGCAGGTTTTCTGTTGAGTGGCAGAAGACAGGGTTCAGCGAGTGGTACGGATTCCTGTGAGGGGGCAGGACGAAGGGAGAGGGAGGTTAGAGGGCCTTGGCTGACATGCGTCAAGGAAGAGGGGGAGGAGGAGGAGGAGGGGCGGTGGGTGAAGACGCATGGACGAATTGGGAAAGAGACGTAGCAGCACCATGGCACAGGTGGGGAGAGAGGACGAAAGGAGGGATACACGCATGAGGAGCAGGAGCAGCAGCAGCAGCAGCAGCAGCAGCAGCAGCAGCAGCAGCAGCAGCAGCAGCAGCAGCAGCAGCAGCAGCAGCAGCAGCAGCAGCAGCAGCAGCAGCAGAAGCAGCAGCAGCAGCAGCAGCAGCAGCAGCAGCAGCAGCAGCAGCAACGTACGAGGCACTCGCCCTTGGACTCCTTGTACGTATACACCGCATCCAGAGTGACGTTCCTCTCCGTCCACATCTGCAGCGCATCCTGGGGATATCCCCCGCGGCAGCTGCCAGGCGCACAGTCCAGCACCTGCTGCACCGCCAGCATGGCTGCTGGGGAAAGGTAGTAGGACTGCAGCTGGAACGCGCCCTCCACTGCGCCCGCCACTGCAAACGCCCAGCATGCGGCTGAGGGGAGGAAGGGGGCGTGGGGGGAGTAATTTGGGGGGAAGAAAGGAGGTGAAGGGCGGGGTGGGGGGGAGGATGGTGGGGTCTGGCAGAGGGACGGAGGGAGGTGAGGTGGGATGTGGGTGCTTGTACTGCGTTCGGAGGTGGGCGGTGGAACCGGTTAGTCACAGTTGAGGGGAGTCACAACAGGAGAGCGAGAGGGATAGATGGGGCGCCGCACATGCCCTGCTGCTAGCTGCACATGCCCCTCGCACTCACCGCACATGCCCTGGTCGCGTGGCGGGCTAAGGTACGAGGAGTAGTCAACGCCCGAGGGCAGCGACGCCAGGTAGTTGGGCGCGCTCGTGGCGGGGTCAAATGTGAGCCCCGCTGTGAGGTACGCGGACTGGGGGTTGAATCTGGAGTACTCCTCAGAATACACCTCCCGCTGCGCAGGGCCCAGACCCAGCCGCGGGTCCACAGCTGCTGCCCACGGTGCATGGGTGGTGGTGTTTGTTGGGGGAGGGGCGCCGGAAGGAGAGGAAGAGAAGAGGGGAAGGTGGTATGGTGGCAGGGTGGACAGGGAGGGGAGAGTGAGGGAGGGTAGTGTGGGGTTGTGGAAGCGGTGGGTGGGAGGAGGGCAAGGGAGGGCAGCAGTGGACCTGGTGGCAAGGCAGGGCCTTTGAGCCGCCTCACTAGCGTGGCTGTGTGTGCGGGCAAGTCCGTGTATGCAGGCAAGGGAAAGTGGTGCGTGCAGGCAAGGGAAAGTGGTGTTACCACCCAGGGCAGCAACTCACGAGCAGGTCGAGGAAGGCGCTTGCGCTTGCGGCGTCCCATCAGACGACCGAGCCAACGAAAGAACCTCTGCAGGGGCGACGCTGCTGCATACCCCTTCCCCGTGTACGCTTTGCTTCTCTTCCCCTGCCCTGCTCCTACTGCTGCTGCTGCTGCTGCGCCTGCCCCCGATGCTACCGTTGCTGCTGGTTTCTGTTTGAATGCCTGGTGGTTGGAGGAGGAAGAGGAGAAAGAGGAGGAGGAGGGAACTTTTTTCGAGGGGGAGGGGAATGACGAGGAGTGTATTGTAGATGGGGGTATTGAGACTGGGTTTTTTGTAGCAGAATGGGACTGTACAGTAGAGTCTCGTACAGGGGTGGGGAGCTTGTTGGACGCATGGCGTGCTTGCTGCTTTGGATGTGCACGAAGCTGTTTGCACTCTGAAACACATTGGGAGGGCGGAGGGAGAAGGACATGAGGAGAGAGAGGGGCTGAATTTGGGGCAAAGAGAAGAAGAAGAAAGCGGAAAGTGGAATACAGGGAATAGTGCAATTCTTATAGCACGAACGACTGACAGGTCAAGGACCTGGGAAAACCGCGTGACTCAAACGAGCGGTTGTTCTTTGAAAACCTTTTGCGAGATATCTCCCCTCACCTGCCTGCTCGCCCCTCACAGCTCAGTCTGACTCAGCCCAGAATCAATTCGCACGAGAAACGTGCTTCACCTGCCTCACTGCCTCGCGTGCCTCGCCTGCCTTCCTGCCTCGCCTGATTGATTATCCTCCTGCCTGCCTGCCTGCCCGCCTGCCTGACTAGACCTACCTTTTCCGCTGCATTGTCCGTGAGAGATGGAGCCACCAGCAGCGCCACCACCGCCAGGCACGCGATTGGACTTTCCACCAGAGCCATTGCGCTTCCCCGGAGAATAATCCCCGCTAGAAGCAGCCTCCTGACTCGGTTTCGTCGACTGCCTGACTTGAGTTCTTCTCGTACTCGCTGGGGTTGCTGGCGGTGGTGGGCCGGGACGAGGGGAGGAAGGGGTGGGTGATGGGGAGGAGAGGGGATGGGTGATGAGAAGGGGAAATAGGGCGTAAGGGAGGGGGGGGGGAGAGAGAGAGAGAGAGAGAGAGAGAGAGAGAGAGAGAGAGAGAGAGAGAGAGAGAGAGAGAGAGAGAGAGAGAGAGAGAGAGAGAGAGAGAGAGAGAGAGAGAGGGAGAGGGCGAGCGAGGGAGAGGGCGAGAGAGAGGGAGAGGGCGAGCGAGAGGGAGAAGAGGGAGAGAGAGAAGTGTCGGGCAGGTAGCACTGACCAGTCGTGGGGACGTCTTTAGAGTCCGCAGTCACGGCGGTGGGGAGCAACGATGGGAGCAGCGCGAGGGAAAGCAGCAGCAGCAGCGGCGGCAGGACGGCCCAGTTGCTCTGGGTTCGCTGACGTGCACCGGGAACGCGGGTGGCTGCGGCGCAACGCGGAGGAGGAGGAGCCAGCTCGGGCAGAACGGGAGAACGCGGCGCACCCGCGCCCGCATGCGGCGGAGCGCCACCGCGCGGAGGACTGGCTGGCGGAGCGACGCGGAGCGGGCGCGATGCACGGGAGGAGGGCGCGCCACGAGGCATGGCGGCGGTGGGACGCGCGGAGGGAGGGACGACGGTCCGGGGGATGTTTTTCAAATTTTGGGACGGAGGCTCTGGGAGGGAGAGTAGTGGAAGCAAAGAGAGAGCGTCTTTCTCGACGAAAGAAAACGAAGACGAAGAGGGCGAAGAGGGCGAGCTATTGCGCTCCGCGACCCCAGAGTGACGCGTTGGCCGAATCCACGCACCGAGTTTTTCCGCGGGGAAAGGGAGAGCGGAAGGCGGATGTCCAGCGTGTGGCGGGGAAAGAAACCTGACGCGTTGGAAAGAGGCCGTGGCGGGGGGCCCTCGAGGACAGAACGAGTCGTTTTGGTGAACCCGTAACAGTGCAGAGACGGTTTTTCCTCCTCCTCCTCCTCCTGCTGCTGCTGCTGCTGGGCTGTGGCTTTTGAAGACAGCGTTATTAGGGAAGCAATTGAGAGTCTACGAGCCTCTGGCAGCGGGCAGCGACGATGGGGTATCGTAGAGTCGACGATAGGGAGCGAGAGAGCTGTCGTTACTGCGAAAGGCTGCGCTCTAGCAGGAGCGCCGCGGCTGACACTGCGGTCATGGCGCTGCGGCTACTGGGACTAACGCGACGCGATGCCACGACGGCCGTCATCGATTCTGCGTGAGCAATTCTCGCTAAAGGGGGGCTTGTCTCCCCCGCGAGGACGGCTTGGGATGGAACCTTGGAGGCTGCGAGGCGGTGGGCTGATTGAATGACGACGAATAGGAGGGACTCCCTAATGTGGCTTTCATCTATATTGTAGCTCTAGTTGTTCGTATCGCAAGGCTTCTCCGTGGCTAGATGTCTCTACCCTGTTCCTACTTTGTGCGTACTCCGTAGGTCTGGTCAGGTAAATTTATTCCTCGGGGGAATTGGGGAAAGCAGCACTGGCCGGCATAGGAGTTGGACAGACTGGGGAGCCTAGGACTGGGTCCACGAGTGAATCTCTTCACAATTGCGACGTGATGGGCAAAATGTGACCTTTTCCTTGCGAAGCGATGTGTGACATTTTCCGATCCCAACCAACCCAACCTTTTCCGCGACCAGGGGAGCTTTTGCGACAAGGCGTACAGCGCGGAGGGAGGGAGAGCAGGCTTGCCAAGGGAGGATATTCTTGGTGTACAGAACGTTTGGGTAATAGGTCAGGAGCTCTCCTTTTTAAACGGTTAAAGGAGACCTTCCTGTTCGAAGTAGTCGGAACTCCTTAAAGGAATCGTAAGTCTGGTTCAGGGGTCACCTTTGGGCCGCGCAAACCAACCACACATTCAAAAGTAGATTCTTACTCTCCACTTAAAAATAACGGGCAACATAGGGACGACCCTCCGAGTCGTCAGGGCAAGAAGGGGAAAGGAGGAGGGGGGTGGAGCAAGACAGAGGGGGGAGAGGTGGTGAAGGAGCGTCTGACAGCGTGCGGCGCGAAAGGAAGCACCACTGGGGCGACGTGGGCTTGGCAGGTTGTGAAAGGAATGTGTAGACGAAGCAGCGGGCAGCGAGACAGAATTTGGGGGGAACACCCCTCACCTCCCGTGTTTGTATCCCGCTACTGTACCGAACGGGGAAACCATCCTTCTCGTAGTATCTGAGCCCGAGGGTGGTTCTGGAGATATCATGGCCGTATTCCTTTCCATTAGAGCGCGTCCAAAATGAAGTTCTGTCATTCACTCTCGTCCGATGACAGAATGAATCCTAGCCGCTGTCATCCGTCCGTATGGCAATCGACGGGCGAGACTCGTTCTGCCATCCGCTGCATCCGCTGTCAGAACACTTTGGACACGTTCGCACAACGTGCCCGCCGCTCGACTCCGCCACATGTTGGCATCAAGCATCACCCTCAAAACGTTTTTGGGCGTTTTGGGATCCGACCAACACAACACACCCAACAAATCTTTCTCCAAATTCAACCGCAACCACCGTTTGTGGACTTCCCGCCAACCGAATCAACAGCCCTCCTCCATTTGGCCTAGGGCCTTGCCGTCCGTTGAGCTGGAGTGGTTCTGTATGGTTTTGTGTCTATGGAAAACTTCCACCGTCCTAGTACACATGATCCTGCTTACAGACATCCGCGCTACTCCACAATCCGTCCAAAGACCCATTGATATATGTCCTGCCCTTGTCCTCGGTGTATACACCCAAAGGCAACCATCTGCCAATACAAATAGATGATATAGGTACAACCAACTACGACTTGTTGAGCTGCGCAACTTCGACCCAGAGGCCCAAAACACTCCAAATGTAAGGAATTACGATTCCTTACTGGGGCTCGCTTCAGCGAGTACACGCAAACCCTTGGTTCTCGCGCTAAACCAACCCCCGCCGCCTTATTCGGTCCCCAACCTCATCCCGAGTCGCCCATAGCACATTTTGACTCTGTCACCCTCGGGACTATCGAGCCCTTGACTGGTCCAACCCTTGACATTCATCCCTGGTCAATCGCCCTATATATTGCCTAGGCCTAATTTATATCAACATTCGGTAGTCACGTTCCCCTTACTGAATAATGCGCTACACTCTGTGTTATAATTCATAACAGCTGGTATCAGAGCTACGCTCCTGCCCATTAGGTTTCCGATAGGGGAGCAGACCAAGGCCTCAAATTCGTTTTGGGGCACCCTGATCGCTCAACTGATCGCTCAGGGTCCCCCCCCTAACCTTATTGTTTTTTTCAGGCCTCGCAAAGAAACTTACGTTGATTAATCAGGGTGTTGTAAAGATTTTGCGCTGAATAAACATAGTTACCTAAAACAAATGCACAATTCCAATATATGCCCATTATTACTATGTTTTTATAAAAACAAGGGCTTACAATATAGCATGGGCATCCTCTTAAGCGTCCTCTTCTGCCTGCACGCTGTCATGGTCTACAGGGGAATCGTCCTCCTTCTCTTTCCCCTTCCTGCTCTTCTGGACTCTACACTGTGGGGCAGTGCTATAGGGCTTCCTCTTCCTGTAGGCTCTCCAGATGTCAATGACGGCATCCCAGTCCGGGTCATAGTCTAACAGGCTCATACACATCAAATCTCCAAGGCGTGAGTCCTTCATGCTGCCCCGCAGCCAGCTCTTAATCACATTATGGCGGGAAAACCCGCGTTCACATTCCACTGTGCTCAGGGGAAGAACTGCCGTAGCGCACCACAGCTTGACGAGATTGGGGAAGCTATCTTCCCAGTCTGGAGACTTCAACATGGTCGTCAAGCCGGTGTAGAAGCCCTTGTCAATCTTTGGCAGGGCGGCAAGGACAGGGCGGAAATGGGGGATCTCCATCATAGTCGTTCGCTTGTTGAAGCCTGCCAGTACGGGAAGGGTAGGAGGGAGAACGAGGGGAGTATTAGTAAAATAGGGTAGAGCGAAACCACATCAACGAATCGTGCAAGCCTCGGAGTCAAGGACAGTTGAGATACTTGGAAGAGTCTCTTCAACTACCCCTGCATGGTAGAGGTCAACCATCATCCCAAACCACTCCATACATTGGGCCTTCCGTGGAGCACGTTCCCACCCCTTTGGTCACTCGTCCGCACAGAACAGCATCGAACCACCCAGCTGCTTCAAAACCCCCAGCTGCTCGTCCAGGTTCTGCACCATGCCTTCAGCCAGTGCCATGCACGCCACGACACAATCGTCGTGCTTGCCCTTACCCGGGTAGCCATCCAATGGCTCCTCATGCAAGTCGAAGCTGAATCGACTCGGGTGCCCATCAGAGTCGACGCCCTCAACAGTGACGGTGCGCGTACTGCCACGACCGTGACGGGTGAGGAAGGTCGTGAGCAGGTCTTTCGGGCCCCCGTTGAAGTCGTTGCCACAGTCGACGTAGCGGCTTTCGAGGAGGGACGTCACGCGGGTGAACGACGCGTGGATCGTTGACATGTCCAGTTGCGAGAAGGGGTTTGGAAATACAGGTAAGAAAACAATGGTGCGTCAGTAGTGGTTTAGGAGCACCACATGACGAAAATTACCTCGTGGGTCTGGAAAGTCTTCTTGAGAATGTTCATCTGCTCAATAACATCGGCAAGAAATATGAGCACAAACCAGAACCTGTAGTTCGTGACAATCTTGTAAAGACGGTCGTCGGCAAACTCAGACAGCATGGCGACGATGGCTGGAAAGACCTTCACCAGCCGTCGGATGGCCTCACCGAGTGAGAGCCACCTGACTTGGTGTATACCATGCAAATCCAAGCACGTCGAGAGGAAGACGTCTTGGAGGTCGAGGAAGCACTGGTGCCACGGTCCAGAGCGACCAAGGAACTCGGCCAGCTCCTTGATGACATCATCGATGATCTTGAAGAACAGCATGTCCTCCATCGCCGCCTTAGCTGCCAGCGCCTCTCTGCACATGGAACGGGGAGAAACTGAACACACCAGCATGAGTGACAGCTAGTATTTTCCTGAATCAGCATCTGTGCAAAGTGTTGGACACTCAATAATTCAAAAATGAATACTTACCGGTGAGCGATGCAGTGACAGGAGACCAGGTGAGGGATACGCATCCGGAGTCGAGTCACCAGGCCGGATTTCGAGCCCATCATCACCGCCGCCTCGTCTGTGCTGATGCCCGAGATGCGGCGGAGATCAACACCGATTGCTTGCAGGTGGGAGAGCAGCAGAGCGAGCATAGAAGAGGCGTCCGCCTTGTCAACGCTGAGCAGCGCCAGGTACTCGATGACGACGTGGAGGTCCCGGATGAAAGTGCAGAAGACTATCATGTGCTTTCCTCTGCAACAGTCCGTGGTCTCGTTGAGGCTAAGTCCGATGAACAGACATCGCAGGAGGTGCTCCAGTTGGGTGGTGTGCAGCCAGGCCGCAGTGGATTGCGTGAACTCCCCGAAACCGTACCTGCGTTTAATGACATAATAAATATCGTCGTTAGTGGCTTATAAAGATCGAAGGTAAGAATAAAAAGCTAGGGAATCTAAAGAGATATAGGGCTTACGAGTTCATGTACGTCCCGTATCCGTCCTCGGGGAAGTTCTTGAACTTCCGCGAGGCAAGGTGGTTGGTGATCGTGACCCATGTGTCCATGGGTTCGTTGGTCTTGCAGCAGGTGTACAGCAGGTCGAGAAGCGCGGTCACTCGCTCCCTCTCCAAATCCGCGACGTGTGGTCGATTCGCGTCTGGGTAGTAGCGTCCTGCAGCAGAACGTTTTGCTTCCCGAACGCGAGGCGGTACTTTCCGCTACCAGCGTGCCTGTTGAACGCTTGTGTTTGTGCGTCAGTGATTCCTGGCCCACGATGACCAGTCCTTCCAGAGAGCCCTGCATGCTCCAGACAGATGGTATACTTAAAGGTAGGGCGCCCACAATTAGTTTTACACAAAACGAGCCAAGGAAACTGCTCCTGCCACCTCGACTTGTAACGGGAAAGAGCTTCAGCGTAAAGCTCAGAAGGACTCATAGACTTCCTGGAGGTTGAAGGTGTCTCGTCTTCAGACGGCTCTTCATCGTCATCAGCAGGCATCGACGCCAACGGCTCGACAGTTCCCAGATTCGGCTTCGCGAATGGTAACTTGGCCTGGCGGTAGCGACCACCAAGGCGCTTGGGAATAGTCGTCGCGATAGCAGGGCGTTCGACGGTGGCTGGTGCCGACGGACCGGGCCTAAGACTCTGCTCAGGAAGAACGACTATATCGGAAACTGAGTCAGCTACTTCCTTTCTTGCACGTTCCTGATCTCTAGGCGCAACATCGGCTCTAATCGGGATGCGAGTGAGGCTAGACAGTGCCGAGAGGAGCAAGTCGAGCCCCGTGCACAGGTCTGCTCGAGGAAAGCTACCATCATCGCCTTCTGGATCACCGTCGCTACGTGCTGCCATCGCGCGATGGCAACGGTAAGAAAATCAGTCACAATCGTGGAGGAGAAACAGAATGACAGGGGGTGGAAGCACTCGACTTGAACGAGGCAGC